TTTTTTTTTCTTTGTATACATTTTAAGCTTTACCTTGGAATTAACCAGAAAAATCAGAAGACTTGTTAAAATTCAAAGTCATTTTAAAATAAGATTTAATTTTAGAAATCAATCTCTTTTACTCCTTCATTTATTTTAATGTTTTTATACCTTGTGCTTATCATTAAAATTATGATAAAGTTAATTTTCCATTTTTTTGTAAACTGAAAATTTATATTCATGATTAAATTCAAATCTATGCTAGAATCAAAATTTAAATAACAAGTTATTTTTAATTCAATATGTTTTTGAGGAGCGAAAAACCATTCTATGTCATTATGATTAAAATGTATCGACAAAATGTATTGCTCAGCATTAACAAGTTTAAAGGAGTAAAATTACAAAATTCATTAATTAAATTTTTTACATTTTAATACACTTTTTTTCTTTTTAATTAGTTTCGGATTGATAAATCATTTTTTGTTAACTAAATTGGTGTGGATGTAATAGTTAAATCATCGTCGTCATAAACAACGGAAATAGTTTAGATAATTACAATTAGACAAATTACAATATTAAAATAATACAACTAACTTTAAAATATTAAATCAAGCAAAGCTTATGACTTTGCATTGGCTCGCCCCCCCAGTCAAAAAAAAGTTGGCACGCCACTGACTGAACTCTATTTATGTCAATAAAATTTAATTTGCGAGAGCTCATATGCATATATTAGATCATCTCAATGAGAAGTGAACTAGGTAATGTCTCAATGAGGCGAACCGGGTTTGAATTCCGGCGAAGGCGGGTCGATTCAAATTCTGCTTCTAGTTCACACTAATTACAGTGCTCACGTTAAACATTCCTATTGGTGGACGGGGATCACCGTTGCCGTCGAGACAACCATGGAAAGTTTTCATTGTTTTTTCTCTCCATATAATACAAATGAGAGTTAGTCTACAAAGAAAAACTCTTAACAACTCTGGTGTAAGCAAAAATCTCCACGAAAGTTAGATTCAAAACATTTTTCTGGGCCGTGGTAGCCCAGTGGTCAGAGAATCAGACTCCGCTCCGGAGGGACCGGGGTTCGATCCTCAACTCCACTAAGATACGTGTTCGCAAAATCCGTGGAATCAAAAGTCATGTGTTCGGTCGCTGAGCAATAGCATGGGTAGAGAGACATGGAGAAAATTTCCTTCCTCAACAGATCTATGTCTAAATTGAGAAAGTGGCCTCACGAATGAGATCACCTCTGTAGAGGATCGAAATTGTGAAAGCATGTCTTCGGATCATGCTCAGGGATGTTTCCTAGTCCGCCGCCAATAACCCGTTGTGAAGCGTTAGTGTTTGACGTAAATAAAAGTACCAAAAAATTCTCTACGAAGGTTAACTTACTCAGTTTTAAATCCAGCGTCTTCTAAGTTGAGTTCAAGATTACAAGGTTGTGAAGAGGAACATTTATAGCCATAAAACCAGAAAATTAGCGAGTGTTCAACGGTGGTTCAAAATGCTTGTCTCTTTGAATGGTTTATCTTAGATATAAAAATGCACACTTTTCTTATTTTTTTAAAGCTTTTAATCTTTCCGAACGAATGTTAACTAACAAAATAATTTGTTCCTAACATATGATATGTAACTGGCGTTATTATAAATAATTATAAAATAAAAATTTTAGCAGTTTGATATCGGTTCGGGAAACATCCCTGAAGATAATCCGAAGACATGCCATCGCAATTTATATGAGGCAATTTCCTCAAATTTGACATCGATCTGAAGGGGACAGAAATTTTCCCCAGAGCCCTGTACCCACGGTACTGCTCAGTGACCGACCACAGAACTTTTGATTCCACAGATTTTACGAGCAAGTACATTGTCTGTACGCGGAGGGTCTTAGCCGAGTCGAGGATGTAAAGGGAGCTAAGGGGAACATTCTTTGCATATGCACATGCAATCGCTTGTAAATGCGAGTCACCCGTGCACAAGAAATTCATCTTACATATAGTTTTTACAAAATGGAAAAATAACATGTTGTCCATTCTTAATGAGACCGTTCTCACTCTCATTGCCTGCGAGAAAATATATTTCATCAATTAGGAGATGTGGCGTATGAAAATTCTCGTTTGCATGAGCTCATATCTGCAAAATTTCGCAAGTAAGGAGAATGGCTCAAAATTTTTGCGGTATCTCCTTTTATTTTAAAAGTACTATTGGTGATCGAAATAGGCTACTGGTGGCTCATTATCTATTGCAGTATTTCACATACCTTCACCATTAGCGTATGAACAGTCCTAGGAGAAAGAAGCACGTTAGTTTCCATCTTGATTTTTAAACAGATTAAAAACTTTTATGTTAAGAAACTATATGGAACTCAAAACTGCATTAAATATCATTTTTAAAAAACACGTCGTAAAAATTTTAGGAAATATTTGTGACAATTAAGTGCGAAAAATGTTATGAAAGGGAAAAATATTGTAATACATTCCAGAAAAATGAAGGGGGCCTCACTGGCCGAGCGGTATCACCATGGCGGTAGCAGACTCAAATCCCGCTGTTACCCTGGGTGCATCTTTGTGTGTGTATATATAAATATATATATATATATCATGCCTGTGTTCTTTGGTTCATGCCTATTCCAATCACAGTCGTTGAGGGTAAATAAGAATATGCTTGGTGAAATTTTTTTTCCTCTCTAAACACGCTTCAATCAGGTTTTCCGTTTTCTTCGACGGTGGTTAGAAGTGCCTAAGCCACATACAGTGAAAATGGTTCTAATGCGAACTAAATGCTTCCCTGTGTTTATATCAACTTTGCGAAAACATAAATTGTTGAAAAACAGCAACAAAAAGCTCTACTTTCAAGCACTATTCATCCCGCTTTATAAATGAACTTAAATTCATATAGAAAAACCTTACATGCAGGATGGTCCCTGTGCATTTGGCCTATTCTCATTTACTATGGTTTTTTTCCACATGCAAACGAGATTGGCATGTTTTTAAAAGTAGATATTTACCACTCATCTGATTTTCACTTCCAAGTGGAAACTTTGTGCATTCAGTGAGAAATATCCTTCAAACCAGCTATGAGCAGTAAGTGATAATATAATAAAGCTACAAGCGCACTTTTAGTTAATCGTGATGTTTTGCAAATCAATCAATCAATTTAAATCTAGTTGTTTTGATCTGTCAATTATTTTCGATTTTTTCCCTTTCCGGTGCTAAATTTATTTCTAATTATGTTTCTAAGTGTACATTTAACATCTTATTCTTTTTGATTAAGTATCTATTCAATGTTTTTAATCTAAAATAACAGTTTTATGCTTTACTGTGCAATGCGCGTTTCTTATAATAATGTCAAAATTTGTTGGGAAAACATTCGAATCACTGAATTCTATTTTTAATAATTCTGGTTTGTTTCAAAGCGGTCAAAGTAAACCTTCCTCAAAGTATCAGCTACCATGGCTTGCAGATTCCAAATCTGTTATCAGAAAGCTGAAAACACTAGAATCAGAGCAGGTAATTTTATCAGTTATTTAGCATTGCTATATTTCTGTTTCTTTGCTGTTTGTGCATTAGTGTGTAGATTATTACGATATCCAATTCAAATTGTTATATGTTTCAAATTATTGTTTTTTAGTTTATATATTTTCAGAACATTTATTTTTGATCTTTGTGAAATTTTTAGTCATTTGTTGTTCTGCTACTTGTACCTACAAGTATTTTTAAAGAAAAAAACAATGAACCTAGTTATCTATCCTCTTCACGCCAGCTAACACATAATGCCTCAAGTTTCTTTTTCCAGTTACCCATGTCCTGAGCCAGTCGTCTGAACAATGAACAAGCAAGGAAAGTTTTGGGCTGAATCTCTTATAACACAATCTTTTTCCTTCCTTCCTTCCTTTTTTGAAATGTTACACTTCATACAACATTGTATATATGGTAAAGTAGCTGAAGATAAATGGTAGAAAGAAAGGGGATCACTTAATGTTCTGTTCTACGAAAGAAATTAAATCCATAAATCTTTATCTCAGTGTTTTTAGAGTTTCTTTCTTTTTTATGGTAATAGGATACAACTTAGTAATAAAAACATTAACTTCGGTTGGGAGTCAATGATATTGAATGATTGTCCTCAATGTATGCTATATTTTTTCCTTTATTTTTCTCTATCTCATTTATTTAATTGCTGCTTTTTAACTGACGGTTGAAATACTGCTGGTAGGCTTAGGGTGTTTAGTGGATCACCTGAAAATAAGTTTTGATTCATCTTTTAAAAATTTTTCTTTTCAAAAATAATTAGTATAGTATTATTACTGAATATTTTTTTTCTTAAATGTATAATACAAGAGGGGATACATTTTTAAAAATTCATTTTACAAGTAAAGACCTATTGTTATTTATACTTCATTTTCAATTGGAAAAGATAGTCTTTCGTACTTAGAAGTGTTTGCAAGATCAATATAGACAGGGGTCTGTTTAGAAGAAATTTGGGTCCGTTAACGAAGCCTTCACAAAATATCTTTTCATAAAAACGGACCCTTCACAAAATATCTTTTCATAAAAACGGACCCTTCACAAAATAATTTATCTTTTAATTGGACCCTTCACAAATTTGTTTATCTTCATTATTGTTTCTTTAATCGAATCAACCCTTCCTGGGGGGGGGGGAAGACAGATGTAAACGAGCTAAGTTTTGTCTTCAGCAGACGCTTATTCCTTTATTCGTCCAAAATTAATATTCTGCATTCAGCAGTATAGGCTAAATACCAAAAATTTGTATGTTGCATCTTTAATTTAGTAGCAGCAATTGCTGTTTATTTTTGAAAATTTAATTTTTTTAAATTATAATTTTACAGTGTTGAGCATAATCTTGTCTCTATTTACAATTTAAAGACTCGTTGAAAAAGTTTTTTTGCAATAACAGGACCCTATTTGCACAAATTCACAAAAGCAGGACCCTGGTTGAAAGAATGTGACTTAACGTTTATTTTATATTCACAAATTACGAGTAATTTTTTCACAATTTTATAAAAACAGGAACTTTCACAAAATGTCTGGACAGACCCCTGATAGATATAAAAGCTAGTTGAAAATATGTGATATATTTTTTACCTAAGTAGAATGTAAATGAATTAATACTAATTAAAACAAATGTTAATTCTAATAGCTTTAATTCTATGTGTCGCTAATAATGAAATATATCTAGCCATTTATTAGTATTTTTTTCTTCATGTATAGCTTAGTGTATTTTAAATTTTTTCTCTATAAATTTCATACGAATAATAGACAAGTGTACATTTTATCTATGATTTATACTTGTGGCTTGTGCGCTGTATTTTTTCTTTCTTTTTTTTTAGTTTTCTGATTACTTACTTTGATTATAGACTTAACTGTATTTATTAACAAAAAATAGTTATAAAAATTTATAAATATCTTTGTTCCTTCTGAAAAAATAGTTGTAATTTTTTTTAAAAGTTTTTGCTTATGAAAATGATTTAGGTTGAGTGTAATAAGGTATGTGTGAAAAGTTGTGGCGTGTAGGTTTGTTTAACTCAATGATTGTCACCCTCTGACCTTCAAGGTCAGGGATTGTTCACTTACATGAGAGTTGAGTCAGAGTCCTGAAGATATAAAACTTTTTTTGTACCACTTTTTAAACGTTTTATTTTGTGTTAATTAATGTATTTTTATACTTTCAGGAAAAAGAAGAAGTAATAAAATCTTATTTATCAGAAGCTGAGAAGAGACTAGCTGAGCCTGATATAGCTGCTGTTTGTATCGATTTAATATTAATTAGAAGTTAAAAGTGATGTTTTGTAAAATTATTTTATACGAGCTTCATTGTGAATTTAAACTAATATTGCATATGATTATAATCACTAATATTGCATATACTTCACATGGCATGCATTTTTACTATTACATATAGGGATAAGTTTACTATGACATATATAGTGAATGTCTTTATATAACATGCTTGACAGCAAAATTCATGAGTGTGATTTTTATTTCCAGTACTTTTCTATCCAGACTTCATAGGAACTGTTGTCAAAACATGTTAAACTCTTTTTTCTTTATTTATTTTTTTATAATTTTTTTTAACTTTAAAGAGATCACTCTTCCAGTTTTACAGGCAGTATTAATATATTTATGTGATTTTATTTCTGCATCCTTTAAGAAACGATAAATCCGTATTTTTGTGTTGCTTTTTTAATATAATTTTTAATTTTCACAAATTATTTCTAAATTTTCACAAAATAGGTACCTTCCAGAAAAACCTAGAAAGACCCCTGGATAAGTGAACATGTTTTTTTTTTAAATAGATATTGAATCAAATAATACTGTTTTATTTTTAATCATAATTGTGTCTTGTTGCTTGACATTGTTATCTCTGTACAATAAAATGATTTATTCCTTTGTTGCTGCAAAAAGAAGTTTTGTATTTATAAATTTGATAAAGATATGCCATTAAAAAAATTCCTAACTAAGGATAGTGTTTTAACAAACTATAGTGTCAGGTGGGTAAAGTGGGAATAAAATCAAGCTTTTTTTTTTTAAAAAAAAAAGGTTTCAAAACCAAACCATTAAGTTTATTTTATTGAAGATTTTGATTTATTTTATAAACATTGGATTCATATCGATTAAATATGAAGCATAACTTATCTCTTTTATTTGATTGTTTTCTTACATTAATGCATTCAAAGGAACATGCTTTGGTATACCCTCCCTCTTTTATACCCCAGAGTGGGGTAAAGCGGGTATAGTTCTAAAATGAGGATATATTTCACTAAAAAGCATATCTAAATATTGTTTTACCGATAAAAATGCTCTTAATTAAATGTATCATGATTATATTTAAACAAATAAATGCAGAAAAATTAAGTTTTTTTAGTATCATTAAATTAAAGAGTTAATGTTCATGATTGTAAAAATTGGGTTTCACATCCGATGCAATATATATATATATATTTTACATTATTTAAGAGCATTTTATATTATTTAAAAGCAAGAAAACTGTAGTAGTTTATTTGAATTATAAATGAGAATGTAAAAAGTAATATTTATAGTGGCAATTTAAAGTTTTTACTGTTCAGAGCAGACACCTATTTTTGTTAAATTTAGTTATTTTAAGTAAATAATTTTGTTTTTTTTATGAATAAACTGCCATACTTGTGTGAAAACTCATCTATATTTTTAAAGATGTTCGCTAAGTTGTACCATTATGCTGTTTCGGTAATTTTTTTTAATGTATACTATGTCTATTATAATGTTATTCCCCCCTATCATATTTTTCTTTAAAATTTAAAGTTTGAAAGAAATGTTGTTTTCAGTGTTAAAATTACTATCTAGGACTGTAATCAAACAAGTAAATTATTTTTTTAGCTATTTTATTATAAAATATAGAGTATTAGATACTTTCTATAGCTAACACAGAAGTAAAAAAAAAATTTCCCTATGATACAACACTCAGCTAAGCCTAACCATATGCCCTCTTTACCCTACCAGAAAAAAATTCATACTGAAAAGAATTTTGAAATTTATTCTTAAATTTCTATGTAGATCTGTTCTTTAGATATCCCTCTAACAGGTTGAACTAAAATTAATAGTTTTTGCCAGTTCTTAATCATATTAGAAGAAAGTTAATCAATGGCAAGACTTAACATACTGTACAAGTTGATTATAAACAGATAGTTTGTAAGCATTAAATTTTTCACCAGTTTTTAAAACTGAAATAAAAATGTTTGCCACAGTCCCAGTAAATGTCTCTAAAATGCTAAACGAATTATCTCAATTTAAAATGAAAAAATAGATGTTTTTTTTTTAACATATACCTACTTTCTCCCATGTACCCATTTTATCCCACCTGACCCTATTTTACTTGTATAATTAGTTGTCATGTTGAATTTAGTTCACTTAAGGACTAGTAATTATTTAAGATTGCTTATTTTAACAACAATATATTTAAGTGTAAATTTTATTGCTGTTTGGAATGTTCTTGAAATAATAAATTTTTTTATCATCGTTTTTTTAGCTAGTTATTAAATCCTATGGGTTGAACAAAAGTAAAATTTCTACAAAAAACAATTGTTTTAGAAGATTGTCAAATAAAAGTAAAGTTTTAAAAATGCTAGAATTTTCTTTTTGAAACATATTACTAATTTGTAGAGTTTTTTTTATGTCTTTACTAATAACATATGTTAAAACAAAATTAGGTCATATTAAGGAATTTACTTTTATGAAATATCCAATTTTACATTTTTTTTCATTTTATAGGAAGAAATAGAAGATATTATAAATATGTGCATGATTTGTGAAACTATGGGTTTTCCTACTCCCTTTATTTATATTCATTGCTTAAAGCTTGCCCAAAAAGGGAATTTACAGCAAAAACGCACAGGTACTATTTATATTATTATTAATTTTTTTTGCTGTATATTGTAATGTATTTTTATTATTTAAATTTTTACAAGCACATGATGTGTAGGCACCATATAGCTTAATATATATTTGTCAGATTTCCACCTATTAATTAAAATTTTGTACTAATTCTAAAAGTGCTTATTTAAATAGTACTGGGATTAATTTAAGTCAAGAATCAGACACAAAAACATACCTTCACTGAATAGAGATTTCTTGTTTTAAATATATTCTGTTGTTTAAATTATTCACTTGACTAATGAAATATTTAAACATGGTTTAAAATTTTTAATTTTAAACCACTTAATTAACTTCTAACTCTCTACATTCAAAACAACTTTCTTTCGTGAAAGGTATCGCAACTAAATAACAAAAAATTTGAACCATTTAAAAGTAAAATGGTAAATTTATTATTTCATAATAATATATATTAATCGTAATAAAATGATTTATTTCACATTAATTTATTATAAATTTTTAGTTTAATTATAAATAATTCAATTATTAATAATTGTGTATACAGAAAGTTTTTGATTTTGTGGGATGGTGGTGATCTTGGTAGAGGTAGCAGCAATTATGGGAGATAGCAGTAATTTGCAAAATATTGTCCCAATAGATTAATCAAAAGAGGTATTGGAAACTTGAATCTGTGAGCAAATGAGTTTTATAATTGTATGGTATATAATAGTGTAGAACTATACACTTTTTTTGTGGTTCATGAAATACGCAAAAAGTAAAATTTGTACACTGAGAGATTCCAACTTAAGAGCACTCTTCTGTTTGAACTATTGTAATAATATTTTTCAGATTGTTGTTAATCTTATACTTTGAGGACCAAATATCTAAAAAAAAAAAAAAAAAAAGGTTTATTTAGAAAAAGTATGTTTTGTATCCGATTTTGTTGTTTAAAACATCAATGGCATTAATTAATTTGCAAATTTTATATTTTTTCACCAAACCATTAAAATGGAATCTTATATTTTGTGGGCCAAAAATCTAAATTTAAAAAAGCATTGGTTTATTCAGAAAAATATGTTTTGTGTCCGAGTTTACTATCTAAAATATCAATGGCTTTAATTAGCTTGCAATTTCATATTTTTTCACCAAACCATTAAAATTGGATGTTAGTATGCAAAAGTCTGATCATTATATCAAAATTTTCTTAGGGTAGGATTTTTTTTTTTGTCTATCTCTTTTCACTTTTTAGTAATTTCAGAAAAGTTTTTTAATGTTATACAATTCCTTTAAAAATCATTTTTTAAAAATTTTAATATAAATATACCTGTTTTCTTAGCATAAAAACTATCATGACAACATAACTTAAAAAATTATCTATACATTAAAAAAAATTCTTATTTTGCATTCTTATATTGCTAATTTTTGATGGATTACATAAATATATTTTTACGTATGATGTTATATTTTAGGGTATACAGCTGTTGCATATCTTCTAAATCCAAAGCACGAGTTAGTGGTCTTATTGATAAACACAATTCAAAAAGTAAATATGCATTGTTTATATCAATGAATTTAGCATTTTTATTCGTGCTCTGAACACTACCAGTTTTTATTCCAAATTGATAATAAATATTTTCAAATCTAATTAATTGAAAAGTGATAAATAATGAAACGTATAAAATAATATATTTTTCATTGCGATAAAAAATAAAATAGTTATAATAAATAATTTTGATTTATAGACTTAATAAATCAGACAACATTTTTTTAAAGTTTATAAATTTTCAATTAAAATTGTAAACACAATCAGCACATAAATGAATATTAAGTGCTGACTTTTTGTTTATTTTATTCATTTTTTATGATTAAGTAATTTTTATGTTAGTTATTAATTAGAGAGCATAACTTTTCCAAAAAGGGAAATTTTCTTTTTTTTAAAACTTCTAGTTTGATAAATGATATCTTAAATTTTTTCTTCCGAAGTAACTTTTGGAGGAGGTACCATGATTATTGCATTTATGGCAGCACATTGAGAATCTTTGTACATGTTTAGCTATTATCAATTAATATATCAGAAAGTGTTATTTAAATGTACAGAGTGTATTTTGGAGATTATAGATCATCAAAATTCATTACAATGTAACATGAGATCTTTTTTAAATATCTATTTTTGGATTTTTTCTAAGCTTTAAATATTATTATTATTATTTTTGCAAAGTTGGAAGAAAAAAAGCTTTAATGTTAGTAAGAAAAAAAAAATCCTTTAATACATTATACTAGGTAGGGCTAATAATTTTCAAGATTAGTGTAGTAACTTCTGCAAATCCTATATAGAATGCATACCCATTGTGTATTGGTGTAACTGTTATAATAAATTTTTAGTGTTTGACTGGTAAAATTTTTAGAAGCTTTTAATGTTTTTGTTTGAAGTGTTCTTTAATTTTGACTTAAAGTTGGCTTTAGCAATATTTAACCATAAACCATATTTGTTTTGCAAATTCTTTTGTTCTTGAAGTTTTGAAGAGGAAATGCTCTTAGAACTAAACTTTTGCTGACTTTTTATTTCTAAAAATGACAATTTTGCTTAAAAAAAATTATGGGTGGAGACTAAGAAACTGCATTCTGAAAAGTGCTCCTGTAATTCAGATAATTAACTTACATCTCCCATAACCAGAGATGGAGGTTACTTTTAAACATATTAAATGGGTATGTTACTCAAATATTTTTAGAAGTTATTAGATTAGACCTGGAAGTTAATAGCCGAACTTTGAATAAATCTTTAATTTGGTAAAAACAAAATTAAAATATGATTAACAAATATTGAGACCTAAATAAGACTAGATTAAATTAGTTTGTACAGATACTTTTTTTATTTCTCTGGCAAAGCATTTTAATAATTTTCCATTTAATTAGTGTTTCCTTGTTGCTTTTTTATTTCTTCATTTTATTGTTGTTATTTGTAAAAACTTTTATAGGTTACTGTTTTTATTGTTATCATACATTAGAACTGTTTCTTATTTTCATTTTAAAAGAATTTTATTTTAACAGAAATGCTTTTCGTTTCAAAATCTTTTGGTGTCATTATGTTTAGTGTCACATTCATATTTATTTTACTCCTTTTAGGACTTGCTGAGCTCTAACTATTTGGAAGTTCTGCTTGCATTAACTGCAGTGTGTAACCTCATTAATGTAGAAACAGTTCATGATGTTCTTCACCTTGTAGAAGACAAATTAAATCACCCAAAGTAATTATTTCCTTCATAAATTATTTTTAAAGAACCATCAGTGTTGTTTTTAATTCATCACAACTGATTGTTCTAAAATATTTTTTGCAGATCATCTGTTAGAAAATCTGCTATTTTAACACTAGGTCATTGTCTTCAATTAATAGATAGTGCAAGTGCATATCAAATGTCTTTTTCTAAATTTGAGAAGGCTTTAACGGACTCTGATTTAGAAGTTGTTTCTGCTGCTATTTGTGTTCTCTATAAAATTGTACAGGTAAATGTGTAAAAAAATGTTCATAATTGTCTCTTAACTCTTATTTGTTCTAATATTGTGTTTTCATTTTTTTTATCTGTGCAATTGTTTAGGATATTTTTTAATTTTTTACATTTATTTAATTATGAGCTTAATTGTTTTTTATATCTTTTATTTTTTGCATTTATTTAGTTATTAGTGCATTTGTTTGTGATATCTTTTAATTTTTTTTCGTTTATTTAATTATCAGTACAATTGTTTGTGTCAGCTTTTATTTTTTTAAATTTATTTTTAAGGAGGAGGATTTTTTATTTTATTTTTTAAATATGTTTATATAAAAGCAGTTTTTAAATTATTACCCATATATTATATATTGATTAAATTATTTTCGCATCCACAAATACATTTTTGTCCCTCGGCTAAATATTCAAACTTATTGTTACTTTTAGAATATATACTATTGGTCAGTTAAAAGAATATATTCAAGTCCACTTAATCTCAATCATAAATCTAAAATGTTATAGTCAATTTAAATTTGTACACCAGTATGTATTATAGGTTTTGTATCTTATTTTCCTTTATTGAATATAAAGATTTCTTTTATGTGGAATATTTTTTTACATAATGCTTAATTGTTCGAATGGGAATTTTTAGTTATTCTAAAAGAAAAAAAACTATATTTCTTTTTATGAAGCTATATTTCTTATATTATCTATAAACATAATTTATATTTTCAATGCAATGATCTTTTCAATAAGGATATTGTTAAAGATTACATAAAGTATGTCCATTGACAAGATAGCAAGATGCCTTGTCAATTTGCCGTATTTAGTCTCTCCTTCCTAAGACTTCTGCTGGGATTTGATTATTTTTACTAGACACAGCTTTTAATGGAATTCACTCCAATATTATATATATTGTTCCTGGCTGTTTCAGAGGCTTTAAAGTTTACAAACAGTTGGGGAACTTGATGTTTAGGCTTGGTTATTTCTATCCTTTGATCTGAATTCTGGTAGGGCAGACAACGATTCCCAATCCATGAGCTGTAGTTCTTAAGTAGGTTGCAAACAGTGTGTTACTGGGTCATGGGCCTCAGCCGAGAATCTAATCGAGATAAATTTTGATGTCTAATATCAGAAATTTGAAATGATTAACTAGTCTTATTGGGATGTAGTGTCACTCAAAAGCTCTCTGTGGCCTCTAGTCAATAAGGAAGATACTATGCTTGTTGTTCAGGGCTTTAATTCTTCAGCGATCAAGGTAAACGCTAAATATATACATGTATTTATTATTTTTTTCACTTGTATATTTAATAGTTAGTAGGCTTAAAAGTTTTTTTTTTATATACAAAATTATGACCATTAAAAGATTGTGAATCACTGGTGTAGTGTGCTTATGTACCAATATTGTGTTCAAATCTTTATTAAGAATGAATAGTAGACCGACTCAATATCTCATTAATGCAGCTCTTCTTTGACGTTACCGATCGAATTAGCAAAATTTCTGTCTGCTAAAATAAATCTTTTTCTTGTTATAAATTTGCATGCTAATTTTAATTGTTTTACAAAAAACTAGTCTTTCACATTACTTTGAAACAAGTAATTAAATGTCACATTTTTTCCTCATAACTTCACTGCAGGTTTTATCTGGTGACTATTCATATTTGATCGACAGCCTTGTTGAACTTCAGAATCAAATTTTATTGCGAAGAGTTCCTCGTAGCATGACCTATTGTGATATTCCTGCCCCATGGTTACAAATAGATATTTTGAAACTACTTAAATACCTCCAGAAAACTTCTGAGTAAGCTATTTAATGTCTAATATTCTTATGATAAATTCTTAATTTATTTCTCACAAAATTTTTTATATATTTCCCCTTTGCTTTATTGTTTTGTTATACAGGATTGTATATTGCTCTATTTATTGTTTTTTGCTATAAAATAGAATATTTTGAAGTCTTAGCTAATTTATGGATTTTTATAATTTCCAGTAATCTATTTGTTGTTATTAAAAGCAGTTATTTTTTCCAGTTTGAAGACAGCCAGTTTCCAACAGTTATTTTTTCCATTTTTTTTCCAGTTTGAAGTTCCATCTTGTTTTCTTTTTATTTTCAAGTGTCATTCTTTAAACACACCAAATTTTTTTTTCTCAATGCTAATAAACGAGTGTAATATCGAAGTTTAATGCATTGAATAAATAATTAAACACAATTTCCTGCTAATAGAATATGTAATCAACAAATTTATTTCAAAAAATTCCTTTTTTACAATAAATTTGGCCTACTATGACATAACTGCTCCATGATTGCAAATAGAAATTTTGAAATATTAATATCCTATAAAAAAGTATCAAAATAACCTATTTAAATTGTATTCAGATTTAGTTTAAACTTTCAGTTTATTTTTGTAAAGTAATCCATATTTTCTTTTTTTATTTATTATTTAGTTGCTGTTATATTAAATAAACCTAATTTTTTTCTGTATGGGTTAATCTTTTTTGTATTTCTATTCATTTAAAAATCATCTTTTAAATATGACAGATTATTTCTTTTTTAGATTTAAAAGAAAAAATTTAGAACTTAAAAACTTTTTGGTCCAAATCTTCCAGTTCATAAAATTTTTAATCAATTAATACCGCTAAAAATAGCTATTAACTGAAAATTTATCTATTCTTATATGTTAATCCTGAAAGAACCATTTCTTTCCTAGGGAACAGAACCAAAGGAAAAATGTTTAAAACCTTATCAAAAGAAATATGTTTCTTCCAGTCCGATTGAAAGAAATGAGAGAAATGTTTTAATAAAAGAGATATTAAATCAATTATACGTACAGTTTAATATTGTAATAAAGTTTAACTAATAATTTTATAACTTTATAGGGTTTTTCATAGGCTTTACTCATATTATAAGTTAAAAAACTAATTCTAAAATTACTAAAAAATAAATGATATTCATAAATAAAACAAATTGAGTGAAAATTTCTTCTTCAATGGCCCAACAATCTGGTGGCCTTCTCAAGAACAGATTACCATCTTGATACTTTTGTTTTTCTGTTCTTAATTTTGCTATGTTTTTGAAGGAAATCAATATATTGTAGTTTTAGTTCTTCCTCTAGCTCGTATATCATACGATTTTGCCATAAAAACCTTTTTGACATTTCTGTATTCTTCCATTCTCATATGTTTTTCCCACTTTTTAATCTTCGTATTTTAATGAATTTCATTACAACTGGTTCTTCTTCTTCTTTGTCATATACCATAATATTGAATTCCTTTTGAATTCCTTTAGAAATAAAAATTTAATGAATTGTGAAAAATCTTAGAAAAATTAATATTTTTTTAAATGAAATATTTGAAATAGTAATCAAATTTAAATCTATAAAAATAATTATGTATGGAGTTATTAGCTATGTATTAATTTTTTTTATAAATAGAACATACTTTAAATTAAAACGTGTGCATATTTGTTTAAGAAAATAAAAATATCAATCCTATATAAAAATAAATTACTATAAAGATTTATGGGAGATATAAATTTCTGTATGAAACTTAAAATATTAAAAAAAAGGAATAGGTTTTTAAAAATAGTCTCTAAGTCTCTTTCTTCTACTTTCCTTCTTACTTCTACTGACTTTCTACTTTCCAAGTATCTTTCTTCTACTACTATAATATTCTTATATACTATTATTACTTTCCTTATATACTATTCTTATATACTATTATTTACAAACTTTTCTTATAATACTTACTGCTAAACAATTGTTGCTTTTAGTTTTTTCTATTTTCTATGATTTTTCCAGCTTCTTCTAGCTACCTGGAAGAAATGGGTTTCTTCTGGAGAAAATTCTAACAATTTACATTCATTTAATAGACTATTGATCTCTACCTGGTAACATCTAGTTTTCACGTCGTAGATGTTACCTTCAGACTCAATATTTTCCAAGATTGCAATAATTAATTTTTAATACTTATCAATATATTAAAAAATATTATAATAATTTTCATTTAAGTTGATCTAACTTGCTTGAAATAAATAAAGGGAATTTAAAAATATACATCTAAATGTTTAGTTACCGAGTAACTCTGATATGAGTTTTATTCCTTGGGTTACAGCAGTTTTTTTCTTTCTTTTGTATCTGTCTCATATTATCATGAATTATTGTACATATTTAATGAAACATCTCCACAAATTACCCATTAGTACATTATAAGCTATGATATTGTATTATGCCTAGTTCAATTCTTATAATTTTTGTCAATTAATTTTGAAATATTCATGGTGACATTTTTTCTCCTGTTTGGTGTAGCAATTCCACAGAATGTTACTTTGAATCATAATATTTTTTAAAAATTAGATTATTAAACTTTTTAAGATTACATTTTTCAATCTCAAATAATTAAAATTCAATTTTTGAAGTGTTTTTATATTTCATAGACAATCACAAGTAATTGTCCCTATGTTAAAGAAAACTCTACAACAGATTACTCTTCAATCAACTTTGGCTCATGGTATATCTTTTTGTTTTGTTTCATTTCTATTAATAATTTTTGTATTGAACTGTTTAAAATTAGTAAATATCTCAATTTTTTTATATAGCAATATTATATCAAGTTATTGATACCATCAGTTGTATAGAAAGTCCTAATGATCTTGTTGAAATGGCCTTAGCATCAGTATCAACATTGCTCAAATCAAGAAATATTAACTTAAAATTAATAGGTGAGTTAATAGCTTGCTGAGCTTATGATTTTTATTTTATTCTTTATATTACTTATATTTTTTCAGACTAAAAATGAATTTGTTGTCAAGTTTTGACACATTTTTAAATGTTTAAATGCTTTGGAATTTTTATTGCTGTTTTCCAAATAAAGAAAAAGATTAATTTAGCCAAATAATATAGAAAGGAGAAAAGGAAAGTCCAGATCTCTCAATATGTAACTTATATGCAGAACTGCTCCGTGCAGTATGCTATACCAGAAAAACAACTTTCAGGGCAAGCAACATATGCAGATATAGCAGAGTATTATACTTACTGCTGTGTACCAGTGCATGTGCATAAGAAGCAAAGTGACGGTCAAGAGGTGAACTGGTTATTGATCAACTCTGTAATGGTTGTGTATGAAAAAAAGTACAAATAATGCTGCAAGATGTGACTTAGAATAAATTTAGTGCTATAATAAAGCATCTCTTTCAGCACCAAAACATAGAATGGAAAAAAGAATAATTGAGATTCTGAAGAACTTCTAAACAAGTTTCAACATTATTTGTTTATAGTTTCTTTTGCACCATGTTGTTTTTTTCTTTCTTACTCCCAACTATTATTGACTATCTTATTACTTTACTCTTTTGATAAACCCCTTTTCCTTGTTTGTAGATTGAGCTGATTTTGAAACTAAAGGCCAACTATATTATTTTGTCAGACTTTATAGCACTTTTTGATCAGCTTATTTAGATTGCGTAAAATGAATGTATTTATGTTGATAATTCATTTTATTTAGTTTATACATATTTATAATGTATTTTATTTTAGGTGTTGAAGCTCTTATTTTAGTTGTTAAAAGTCTGAAGCCCAGCATTGCTGCTGCTCAACAGGAAATTATAATGGAATGCCTAAAGCTTCCAGATGAAACTTTACAGCATAAGGTTTGATATTTGACCTGAATTACTGTGATTTGGTGGTTAAAATTCTAAAAAGTTTAATTAATTTAATAATTGTGAGTAAACCATACTTGCCAAGTCTCCTGTTTTTTAACACAGACTCCAGTATTTTACGACTATCTCCAGTTAACCCGTATGTTCTCAAATTTCTCCGTATTTGTTGAAGAAATTTTTAAAAAAAATTTGCAATCAAATATCCACCGATGGCTAAACTACTTCTTTTATTCCTCAATGGATGGTGCTATTGCCAGTACTGATGTTGAGTGTTAATAGTTTAAGTAATTATAAATAATGGTTTAAAAATTCTTCTTTAGATTAAGATTTATATACATCTTTTTTACTTCGCTAAATGTAAGTGCTTATATTATTTCCAATTTTGAATTTCTCTTTTTGACTTACATGATTATGTATGATGTATTAAAACACTTTACTTGTAGCCTAGAAAATGTTGCTAGTAAAATCTACATTTTATTTCTCCAATGTTAGTAAATACTGAAATGAGTGTTATTTAAGCTGATTTTTATTAAAAAAAATTTTAATAATTTAATAACCCAGATGCACAACCTTTTGTTTCCTAGATTAAATGTGATAATTAAAGAATGAACATATTGATTACCTTTTTTTCTGTACGAAATTTAAACATTAACCTTATGAAAACTTAATGTTGCTCTTTCAATTAATGGCTTAAATATGATGTGATATATTGCAATGTTTTTATGTGTCTTAGCCATAAGATTATAGATTTTCATTGAACAATGTGATAATGTTATTGATACAAAAATATTTTTCTAAATTAAGTTTATTAAAATATATATTAATTTGAAACTTTTTTTTTCTAAGTAAAAATATTCTGCTTATTTATTTTTTAAATGTGTATTTTTCTAATTGATTTCTAAGAATATATTTTAAATTTGAATTTTAAGTATTGCATATATTGCTTAAAAATGAAATTTTAAAATTAAGTAGCATTTTTAAATTTTATTTTATTATTTATTTTGATTGGGTGTATATTCAAGATTACATTCGTAATCCTTGGTCACTACTTAGAATCACTTATTTAGTTACAAACTATTTACTCTTGATATAGAGTGAATACATAGCACTTTTCAAAGCTTTGGAAATTTGAAAAACTTGATTGAAACAAATCTATAAATTTATTTACTTTTTGGGATAAGGCAAAGAAATAAATAGTTCAAAATTTTAGATCAAATCCTCAAATTTCTTTTTATTATCATTATTAAATTTTTTTAAGGACCTTTTATAAACATTCTTTGCATTGTAATATCATTGTGTAAGATTGTATTTTTAGGCTTAATTCAGGTTTTCTTGTCAATGTTAAGTTTTTATGAGTTAGGAAATTTTTTTTTCTATAAATTATATTGTATTTTTGCATATTTTTGAGAAATTGTTTTATTTTGTTGAAAGCGTAAATTTATATTTTAGTTTTGGTTGCTACTTTTGCAAAATATATGTCCATAAAAAAATGCCTTTTGTAGAAAAATAAAACTGAAAAATATAATAATAAAACTACACCAAAATATATACATAAATATATTTGTATTTATCCTAAAACGCATGCTAATTGTAATATGAAAGTTTGAATTTGTTTCAAAATTTTAAAATTTTGTTTTAAAAGAAATTATTCCTAAATTTAATTTTAGCTGAAAAGTTTGATGATCATGAGGTATTCTATTTTGTGTTTTCTTTTTCATACATCTTTATTTGTATCGCCGTTACCATCTTTATTTTTATTTTTTTCTATTCACACAAAAAATTTGTGAAGTGTGTGACTTTTCTTGGCTTCTAAAAATTCTTTAAATATGTGACTATTTTTTCCCCCTTTTATGTAGAAATTATCTAGTTAAAAAATGGAGGGATATAATTACATGTTTTGGAAACAAGGCCTATACTGCCGTGCAATTCAAAAAACAACGTAAGTGCTTCACGATTGATTTCGAGAAAAGTGACTTTACAGCAATTTTCTTTTCACACATATAGCTAAAATAGAATTTTAGAAAATTGATGAAACGAAATTTATGTTCGAAGTTCTTTTTTCAATATGTAGCTTATCATCTGAAAATGCCTTATATATAACTATCTCAATTTTGAATTTTTTGTCACTTACGTTGATTTTTCTTTTGCACAGCAGTATAGTTTTATATCGTAATTTTCCTTATTTTTCTAATATTATTTTGAATATATATATATCAATATATCTGAAAATATGTGAAAAAGTTCTTTTATTCTGAAATTTCCGTTCAGTAGTATATTTGATGAACATTGACTATTTTGATGAAGATATTTATTCTATTTTCTATATTTATATTTTTATTACATAATTTGCTTGTGTGTTTTCTATTTTTTTTTTACTTAAAATTCTTGAATTATGTGAGAGATTTTTTTTCTTTTTGAACATAAATTGTAAATTAGGAATACATGCTATGTAATTTGTAAGGTTATTGTGTCAGTTTATTTTTACTTTAATTTAAACTAAAATAGAGAATAAATTTCTTTAAAAAAATAGAAATGAACATAGATAATTTGAGTTAAAACTCCCTAGTTTCAAATTCTCCTAAAGGAGTATTTATATATATTATTTTAATGGAATATTTTAATTTTTTGTCTTACGAATTTTTTTTATTTTGGTAGTTAATACAAGTGATAATTTTGAAATATTTTATCTGTGTTATTTTTTCTCACTTTTACCTTTTTTTTTTTATTAATTCAACCTGTTCAGTAATGTTTTTCTAATCATTAAATTTATGTATTGTTTAAGATTTGTTTGTTGCTATTGTGATTTTACCTTTTGTATCATTGTACTTCATATGATTACAGCAAACCACATAATTTTAGACTTTGGAGCTTTTATACTACTTGGCAAACCCTTTTAATGTCCAGGCAATTTGTAAGAAAATGTTGGATTTCTTGATTTCTGCTACAACAGATGCAAAGAAAAAGGAGTTGTCTTTAAAAATAATAAAATTAGCAAAAGCGTATCCTTTTTTATAACTTTGGTTTAGAGTTCTTAAAAAAGTGATTTCAAAGGAAATAGTATTAGTTAATGTTTAAACAGCATTTGCTGTTAAAATGTTAAACCTTTTTAACAGCATTTTGTTATTTTGCTATTCTATGAACTTTTTGACTTACAACTTGTTAAACCTTGTTTATTTGTTTAGTTTTAGGTTCATAATGTTTAGGTTCATAATTGAGAAACATAATTTTTCTTAACTGGATTGTAGATATTCAGATAGAAAAGAATGGTATATAACGGTTAATATTTTAGTTTTGAATGAGACTGGTTCAGTTTTATCATCAACTGATGTGTATGACATTATAAATCATGTATCACAAGGTATAAATATTTTTAATTAACCACTTATAGTTTGGTTTAAAGTTAATTGAATTGAGGTTGTTATAAAATTAATTTGATATTTTGTGAAAAAAAATATTGTTTGCAACTGAAAACCATAAATGTTGGCTTAAATGTACATTGCTGAAAAGTTGGTTTTAATAATAATTTTTTTTTTAATTTTCCTATTATTTCGATTGTAAGAACTAAGAGAAACTAAGTTAAATATAAATTAAACATTTGTGAGAATTTGATTTTTAAATCTTTTTAAATATCATTGTGTAATCATAAATAAATAACATACCTTATAATATCAATAGTATGCTATTTTTGAATTAAAAATGTATAAATGTTAATTATTCTTTCTTTGATAATGTGTAAATAAATTATGAAGCTATTCACATTTAGCAGCAAATTTGCTGTACAATTCATTTTATTTATTTATTTTTAACTATTTCTACTATTTTACAATTTGCTTTTTTTGCATTTTTAGATTATAAAAATAAAATTTGTACTCATAACATTTAATTTCATTGATAATTTATTATTGTAATATACTAATATTAAAAGTATAAATTTCATTTTATTCTCCCTTTTTTATTTAGTTTTCAAATTATATATTTTTGTATTATTTTAACTTCAAATTGTTATTGAGTTTGAAAATTCTGTGAAAATAATTCCCTGCTATCTTTTTAATCAGATACTGTGTTACGTGAACTTGCTAAGAAGTGTTGTCTTGATTTGTACAAGAGGAAAGAAAAGTTGTCTTATGAGCTTATTAAACTTTATGTTTCTGTAAGTTTTATATTTATATGTTTCTATATAATATTAAAAAAAAATAATATAAAACAATATATCATCGTTGTCAGTCAATTCTTATTGGCCAAAAAAAAATAATATGAAGGAGTAATAATTAACATAGATGATCTGGAAATCTTCAGATATCATCAGTTTAATGTTTATAAAAGATAAATAAAGAAATAATCCATTGGTAAAAAGCATTTTATTATTTAATGGTATCATACCTTCCATCTATTATTCTCTGTTATTATTAACTTTTTATTTCGATTAATTTTAAAAATTAAGGACTTTAAACTAAAAGTGTTGCTCTTTTGTATTATAAATTAATAACATATTATTTTTTATGAAACGTTTTATTATTAAGATATTTATTTTCCTGTTTACAATTGAAAAAATTTATTACTTTTGTTGCAAATTTTAAGTAAAACTCTGTTCAGTCATTGTATGGAATTAGAGTAATAAATTAAAAATAACAATTAAAATTCAAAAGTATATTAAATAATACATATTAAATTTAAAATATCCTCAGTGGTAGGCGGATGAAGGGCTATAATTGCCTTATCGGTGGGCTAACCATGGGAGGTTTTTTTGGTTTGTAACACAAATGCGAATTTCGTTTCAAAAAATCCTCCGCGTAGGCTAGATTATCCCAATGCTTGATGCAGGAGTTCCCTTATCTTCAGGGTTGGGTTCAAAATTACAGGACTACAAAATTAAACATTGATTTGTTAGCTATTCAACTCCATTTGACAAATAAAATTAAATACAATCAGGAGCAAGGCAAGCTGGGACCAAGCTCCCTATTAATTTATTAATTCTTTTTTGCGGAATTTTTCTTAAATTACAATACTTTTTCTTTGTGTTTCATTAAAAAAAGTTGATAATAGCAAATTTAGCAGACTTGTCAACATCCTCAGAATAGTATTCTTATCTGAGGGGAGGAATTTTCTTTTTTTGCATTTTTCTTGACGACAGTTGGTGTCAAATTTCACCGATAGGTTTGATTATTTTTAAGTAGATGGCCTTTAACTGTTTTCACCAACAGTTATAGCTTTTAAAATGTGTCTTTTCATAAAATATTAATTATAAATTTAAAAGATAGACATTATTTGAAATGAAATTGGTACAAATCTAATAGTTATGGAAAAAAAATGTTTATAAACATAGAAATATCTAATGTTTTTCATATAATCTGAAGATCTGTAGGCTCCTTATGATTAAAGGATTTCAAAATGTTCCCTTGTAGTGTATTTCTGTTCTGTGTTAAATGAAGCAATTTTTATCCATTTGTGAATGTTTGAGTGTTTTACTTGTTTGCACTTTATATTGAATCATACTGTTTATATAACTTATACACGCTGCATATCCTGTTTTTTTTATTTTTTATTAATGTTAATTGTACTCTGAGTTCAAGTCATGTTAATTGTAAAATGGGAATACTTATATAAGTTTAATATTTTGTTTAAAATAATGAGAGTTTGAAACTATCTTAAAATTTAAAAAAAAAAAAGGTTTTTTATTGCATAGTTATTTTTTTACATTATTTTAGTTCTTATTCATATCTTGTATATTTCTTCTTTTTTATATATATATTTTCCCTATTTTTTTAGAAAACTTTTCTTTTTTAATATTTCTATTAAGAATTTAATACTATAATAGCTTTGATTTCTTCTTTTGCCCATTTATCGTTGAAAATTTTTTTGCTTTTAAATTTATTTTAGATTTTAAATTCAACTTCTGAATTTGAAGAAGTTTTACCTTACTTGGTGCCAATTTCTGATGAGAGTGCAATGACGTGGATATTTATTTCTTTGACTGACACACTTATGAAAAGTAAAGAAATAACACCAGATTTCACAACCTTTTTAAAGAGCTTAGATATCAATTTTTATTCTGCTCAGCAGGTGTGTATTTATGACTTATTTTTTTCTTCTCAATTTAGTGCAGTTTTTTGCATTTATGTAAAATGAATTAAGCAGTAAATTAGATTAATAAATTTTCAGAGAATTTAAATTAGGTTTAATTGCATAATGAGTAATTAGAGGAACATATTAATTATATCTTTTAAAATTAGCATTTGAAGGAATAGATAGAAGACTGTTTGAAAAATTATTTTCCTGTTCACTTGGCTGAATTAATTAATGCTACCAAGTCAAATTTTAAAATTTATTAAAACATCATATAAATTTTTTTTTTTTTACCCCCTCAAATGTATGTATATGTCAAAGGCTGATTAAAAATAAAGGATTTTCTATGGTACTTGGTACATTATGGAAATGCCAGCAACATTTGCAAAAAGCTTATGACACACATACTTTCACTAAAAGAAAAGCCTATTTTATTTGTCATTAATAAAATTTTTCGTTACATTTTCCCTAAATATTTTTCTTACACGGCAAGGGTGTTTCTCTGATGTTGTTCTATATAAAAACAGTTTGTGAAAAGTTAAAACTTATTATTTGGAAAAGCACTGTATTAAGTACAAAAAATGAGTGAAATAAAATTCACTTAATGAATAATGAAAAAAATGTATGTTTACATATTTTACATTCTTTTAAACTAATACTGATTTTTTAAAACTGACTTGTAATTCGATACATAAGAGTGACTATTGTTAAAACATATATGTTGCATAAATTTTAATTTTGGAATAGCATTGCATCAATGTGCAAAGTAATATTTAAAGAGTCTAAAAATACTTGTAGCTTTAACACTCATACATGATAGAATCTTAATATCACTGCTTAAAACATTCAAAAGTACAGATAATAAATTAAGTTGAATTTAAAAATATGAGCTGTAAAGTTCAGCTTGTAAATTTGTTTTAATTTTCTCATCTGAATATTTACCTATCTAGGAAAATTAATTAATTTAGGCTCTAATAATTATGCCTGAACCAAGGTGGCTCAAGGGATAGAGTGCTCACCTTCCAATGATGTAGCCCAGTTTCGAATCATAGTGCTTGCTGTTTGATTCGAATTTTGCTTCCGATTTGCACCGACCACAATGCTGCTGACATAATATATTCTCAGTGTTAGATTTATAATGTGTTAGAATCCACTTGATGTTGGGCTAACCATGTGAGGTTTTGTGAATTTCCTCTCCTTGTAGAACAAATGTGGATTGGTTCGATCAATAAAGTCCACGAAGGCAAGTTTGTCGCCATGTTTGATTTAGTAGTTTCTTTGTCTTCTCTTTGGAGTCCACAAAGATACAAAGTTGAACACAAATAGTCATTAACCCAAAAATGGCTCTGCTGTTTAGAACTGGTTATAAAATTAAAATAAAATTTTTTATTGCATCAATTATTCATTCAGGAATTTTTATGTTCAAACAGCAGTTAGTGGGATGCACTATTTATGATGTTCAAAATATTATTATTGAAAAAAAAGAAGATTCTTGAGGAGCTAAAGTATGACTATTATGAAAAGGAATAAAACTAATGCATGTGTTAAAAATTCTGAATTGACTTTAAACCGAAGTATTTGAAGGTTCAGATAATCAAGGTTATATTATATTTGTAAATTTAACTATCCTGATTATGGTTTTTAAAGTTTTTTTTTCTTTCTAGGCTTTAAAACAGCTTTTGCTTATCATTGACACCCTGCCAACTTTCAAAGAATATGATGTAAACGAAAAGGTACTTAATATTTGTAATGATTTATGCCTTTTTGAAGTCTCTAATGAATAGAGAAGTTTTATTCACTTTTTGTGTAACTTTTATTATGTATGTTTTTAAGGTTGATCCTTCCTTGACATTTTTGGACAATTTTTTGGTGCTATCGTTAGAAGAAAGTGGATTTTGTTACCAGCCTCTTAGTTACCGCTCAAATTCTATCTCAATGGATGAAAGTAAGTTATAAATTGCTTCATTTGTATAATTTTTGTAAATCATACAAATGTATTTAAAAATTTTATAGTTAAAATACGGTGAAACCTTTAGAAAAGACCACCTCTCTGTTGAAACCTCCTCTATTTACATCTACTATTGTGAGGCACAGAACTTTTTCCATAGACTTTGTGTTGAATAAAACCTTTAAGAGAGACCTTCAAAACCTCACCTAACGACCAGGTAAACCTCTGCACCAAATTTGGAAAAGGCCAAATAAGGAGCACAAAAAAATATAAGAAATATTAACAGAACAAATAAGTATATTCAAATGTATTTAAAATATTTGTGAGTGGCTCTTATTTAGCGAGGTCTTTTTCATGATCTGTAAGAGAGATTGATAATTTCATGTTACAGGCAGAGGGCACTAAAATCAATGCTATCAATGATTTAGAGTCAAAGTTAAATTTTAAAAAAATATTTCATTTTAGAAAAAAGGACCATTTTTATGAACGCTAAATTTTATTAATCGACCAGGTTTTCATAATGCCAACACAAGTAGCCTCTCCACTCCAAAAAAATGACTATGAATAAAAATTAACATGGCTTGCGTAAAATCATGTACCTTCAATTACATTTTGAAGTCAATGGAGGTAACCCAGGGGTGATTGTGGGCCCAACTCAAAAGTCCTAAGAATTTCTTGAGTAAAATCATTCAAAAAATCCATACCTTTATAAATTTAAATCATTGAAATTTTCTAATTGTGATGTTCTAAATGAATCATATGCAGCATAATTTAAATGAATAATTATTTGTAAGTTTACTTTTATCTCTAATCGCATTTATTATTCTGCCAGAAAAAATATTTACAAATTAAAGAGATGCCAAGTATAAATTCTAGTTCTAATATTTTTAAATAAAATATACAAGAAATTTCATGCATAAATGTGATCGATGATTTCTTGAAACTTCTGGACTTCTATGAAAAATCCGGAGATCCGGATTTTTTCCGGAGCACAATCACCCCTGGTAACCTCCATTAACAACCATTTTATTGTATAACAGAGAGTGGTCACTCTCGAGAGGTTTCATTGTACTCCAAAATGAATTTTTTTTAATAATAATTGCCTCATTTTATATTTTTATTATTATGCAATTGCTATACTACTTACTGCACCATCTGCTCTAAAATTTTATATTTAACAATTGTTTCACTTTTACTATTACTATCCGATACCTGTAGCAACTTATAAAATAATTAAAGATTCTCAATTTCTTATTTAAAATGTTTTGATAATATTTAATTCATTAAAATTTAATCTTTAATTAATAATCCTATTAATGGCCAATCTTTAACTGTTCATGTGTCTTTCAATAATGTATTACCTAAAATAAAAAATTTATCTAAAGATAGTTTTGCAAAACATAGAGAAAATTTATCATATTTATATCAAGATTTGTAAAGATAAAATTTGCTGCTCAATATTTTTAAATATTCCATATTAATTAGATATCTATCTTGTATTTAATAATATGATAATACTTATTTTATATATAAATATGAAATAAACATTTCATATTTATCTTTATTGCATTTTATTTTTCCCAATGAAAAGAATGTTTCCCTTTTCTTCAAACTCAGCTGTAAGTATATTTGGTACTTTGGGATTATCCCATCAACCATTGTCGCCAAAAGGTAGCTTCTACACCAACAACCGCAAATTTGATTGTTCAATGTATAATTATGAAAAAATAAAAGTTTTTAGTTTTGTGACATTAAGTCACAGCCTAATTTCTAAATATCCCGTTTTGTTAATCAAGATACTTATTTTTTCGGCTTAATTTATGATTTTATGATACAATTTTTATTGTCTTCATCTTTTTCTTCTCGCCCCTTAACGCGTTAGCGCAATGAGGACATTTTCCCCAGGAAGTTCCTTGCTCATTCCTCAGACACTCCTTTTCTTGGAAAAAAAGCTGTCGGCGACCTTTGATGTCAACACATGTTTTTAGTTACTGTACGGTCGCCGTTAGTATTTAATTATGCTTAAATTTAAGGGGTTAGTCAACTCACTTCAGTTCGCTCCTTAAGCTAGATTCTTTTGCTTTTTAGGAAGTTTAACTTCCACTTCTAGCTATTTCTTTAAATACCGCCCATTTCTGGGAGCGGGCAGCATTCGAAGTTTTTGTCAACACGCTGTCGAGCTCGACTGTGATGAAATCCTTCTTCGCCATGCAGATGTTTTTGAAAAGATGACTCCAGCGGCATCCCACTCCCGCGTTCCATGAGTTTGGTTACATCTCGAAAGTTTGGTATGAAAATGCCAAATGTGATTTGAAGAAGCGGTCCATAGTCCTCCACTGATGGCTTATCCTTTTCAATCATGTGCCAGAAGTTAGTGTGCTGATATTTATAAGGTTCTTTGTGGCTGTGCCCCTTCGATGTCATGCTCTACTATTATCCAATTTAACAAACCATCTGCTGCTGTTAAAAATAAAACGAACATTTGTTTGATCAACCAGAACTCATTTATTCTGTGTCCTTTTTAAGAACATTATTGTTTTTCCAACATTTTAGACATCCCAAGGTAAACCTGCAACAGGTATGTGAAACTCCATTACAATGACATCTTGATTTTTTATTGTGTTTTCTTTTATGTTTTTATCTCTAAGGGTTATTGCTCACATCGCATAAATTTAATTGTATTTTTTTTAGTATCGGCCAATCTTTTTAAATTTTAACTCCATATTTATAACAAGTTTGTTTTGATTCTTTTAATTACGCTTTTTTATTATGTATTTTTACATTTACATTTTTTTTGTTATCATTATTTTATTATTATTATTTGATAAATTTTAATGTGTTTAGAATTTTTATTTTGGAAACTGTTTTTCATTATGATGGCGCTAAAGGATTTCCACATTCCGAGCATTGACAGGTTAACAAGATAGTCCCAAAGTACCATATTTTTTACCGTATTTACGCACATAACTAATTTTTTAAATTTAACAAAAAATATTTTTATGATATTTAATTATGTTCATTTAAAGCATAGATAAGTAAAATAAATACAAATATATTTCAAAAAAAAATTATTAGGTTTTTATGCATAATGTAAAACTAAAATTGTAAATTGGAATAAAAAATTTTAAGTGTTCACCTGTTGTTTTGCATACCTTGTTAAAATAAAAATGCATATTGATACAGATAGATTTCAAACTATTTTCAAATTAATTTATTTATTTATTAATTCAAAAGGTCAACATATATCCAAAGTTGACATTACATCAAGCTTCAGTGATGTTTCAATTGCTCAAGAATCTGTAAATAGCCAATCCCAAATATCCGGAACTTATAATGCCATTAGTTCACCCAGCACTTCATTTCAAAGCATGTAAGTAGAGCCTTTTACTTTTATTCATTTTTTAAATATATTAAGTTGACAATAACTTTTATCCATTTATATATAATGAAATCTCATTTAATTTGCTTTCGATATTAATTATTACAACTTTCACTTGCAATATTTTAACAAACAAAAATATTTTAACATATCATTACTGGAGAAAAGCCCATCTAATTGCTGCAAATTTGACCTTGGTTATTTTCAAGTCTACCTGAGAGTTACTCCAATCGCCACATGAGTAAACGACCAGTGACTTTTTCCCATCACTTTTTTAAAAGATTGTTAAATGATAGAACAGAATTGTTAAAATGCTCAGTGCGACCATTCAGAATCTATCAAATTGTAGAAAGATTTATGTGGGCGGAGAATTGTTTTTAGCAATTAACGTATTTAAAAGTTGTAATGGATACATTGAATGTAAACTCATGTTTGTGAAAATTGCAACACCATGAAGGAATCGTCATAATTGAATGAAATTTACTACACAGTTGAGTGGTAGTGGTACAAATAAATGATTAAACTTTCAAAGCAAACAAACAATAACAAGAGATCGAAATCAGTATTTTGTGTAGCCATCGCGCACCGCAATAAGCGCTGCTACACGACGTGGCATGGAGTCAAGCAAATTTTGAATGTCTGTCTGAGGAAGAGCATTCTATATAGTTTGTATGCATACCCAAAGTTCATCTGTGGAAACAACAGAACGAGATCAAGAGCGAGACACCGACCAACGAAATGGCACACATGTTCAATCGGTGATATATCTGGGGAATACGCAGGCCAAGGAAGAAGCTGTACCTGCCACAATGCAAGGAAGGATTGAACAGTCCTAGCAATATGAGGGCGGGCATTGTCTTGTTGAAATACAGTGCCTGGCAAGGCTTGAAGGAAGGGAACAGCTTGGGGCTGTAAAACTTCACCGATGTACCGGTTGTTGTTCAGATTACCCACAATTCGTAGCAATTGAGATCGTCCATGATATGCTATGGCACCCCAGACCATAACTCCGGGTGTTCATCCACTGTGGCATTCGATTATGCACTCCGGAAGGTGGCGTTAGCCGGCATAGCGTCTGACACGAATGCGGCCATCAGGGTACCACAAATTAAAGTGGGATTCGTCAGAAAACCCTGCCAATCAGCACGACAGTCCCTATGCTGATTGGCCCATTGTAGTCGCAGGCAGTGATGGTTTAGCGTGATGGTGATCCTGTGTAAAGGAGTCCTTGCGCGCAGTTCACGCTGCAGTTGACGTCTATGAATTGATGAAGCACTCAATGAAACACCTGTAGCTATTGACCACTGTCCTGCCAGTTGTCTAGAGGGAGCCGTACGGTCTGTCAGCGCCATGCGGACCAGGTGTCTATCATCGCGAGCTGATGTGACATTTCGGGATCCACTCCCGGATTCCCGAGTTGTCTGACACTCGTTCGTCCACTGTTTCCAAACACGCATCACTGTGCTGCTGTTACGCTGCACACGAGCGGCTACTGCATGACAAGACAATCCAGCTTCACGAAGGCCGACGATTCTCCCCTTTTCAAACTCCGAAAGTTGTTGAAATCTCGTTCTCTTTCGACGAAGAGGCATAAGTAATGTCTGAACTAGCGGTTACCACTAGCAGATAACCACCGATAACCATACATGTGTCGCTACAGCCGTCCATTTATTAGGATCCATCCGCCGTTCAGAGGGTGCTGCTCAGCATACGCATGCGTTACGGGTCTGTAATTCTAATCATTTGCATATTATGCTCTATTTTACATTTCCTGAAAATTTCAGCACACTCGCATAAGTCCTTCATGGTGTTGCAATTCTCACAAACATGAGTTTATTTTGTTTCCTCAAATATTTTTACATAAAGTTCTTTAAAGTGAGTATATTTAACTAAATTTTGTCACTTACTTATATTTGTGAATTAACTTTTTATAGCTGTAGATTTCTAATATGATTTTTTTTAAAAATGAATTTTAATCCAAACAAAAAAGAAATTTTAAAAAGTTGCTATTAAATAGAAAAGACTTAATTTAAAAAGTCAAAAAACAACTCCTTCAAAAAGAAAAGAAAATCAAAATTTGTTTTTTAAAGATATGTTAGCAGGACAATACTTCATCAGGGGACACACTGCCTGCTAACATACAGGAGCTTTTCTGTTGTCAGTGCTCCGAGGCCCCATACATAATGGAAAGTCAAATAAGAAAAAGCAATTAGCAAAATTGAAACGTAAATGCAAAGATAAATAAATATTAAACAATAAATAAAGATAAAAAATGACAAATTGATTATGAAAAGGACTTACCTATAGCGATCACTGACTCATTAAGAAAAAAGTTGCTACTAAGTCATAAGTCTGCTGGCCACTGGCTACTAACTAAAAATTTAAATTTTCAGGTATACTTCCAGGGTTTTTGGGGTTGATTTTAATATGCGTCTTATGAAAATATTTTTAGATTTTGATCCAATGAATATTTCTGGGGATATTTTACTATTTCCATTTTTCTTGGGACACCCTATAAATTAATTTTGTGTTTTAGGTCTGGCAGTAGAAATTTATCATTTCAAGTACCCAAAGCACTTAAAAATCTTTGGACAGAGGAAGGGCGTAAGAATAAATCAATTACCAAAACGCTATCTGTGGAAGATGTTGAAACAGATTCAATTCAAGTAATCTATTTTTTCTTTTATCTAAATCTTTACTATACAAAAAAAAATAATTGTTTATGCTTTAATTGTTTTAATTTAAAAAAAATTTTTTTTTTAATGTAGACTGAAAAAGGGAAGGAGGATTTTTCAGAACTCTTCGCTGGAGTATCATGAGAAAAAATGTTTCAGAAATTCTGCCAAATGAGTTTGTTTCTGTATTATAAAATTTAAATAATATTATTAAAAAGGTTTTAATATTGTATTAATTTTTACTCTTATTTAATTTTATTTTAATTAATTTTCAGTGGAAAGCATTTTAATATAATTTAAAATTTAACCTAATATGCTTATTAATTAAAGCAGACAATATATTATGTTGCAAAATCGAATGCGAAAATTTTTCTCTGAATAAACTTTTAACGGATTTAGATTCTAGAACCTCAAATTATAGAGTATCTGCTATGGAAAATATGGTACCAATAATATAGGCAAGAGAACAAAAGTTTGAACCCCTTAATGTAAATTTGAGGATAATTGACTTACTTATGAAATTTGAAGATAATTCATTTTTAATAATTATTCTATTTAATAATAGTCAAAACAATTCTGAATTGGGAGAATACGAAACAATTGGGGAAATTTTTATATGGTTTTAAAAATGTAATTTTTAAGTGACTAAATTCAAAATTTGAATGAAATTGGTCTAATAGTTTATATGTTATTCAATTTTAAATAAGTCGTAAGTTTAAAATTTGACTTCCATTGTCATACCATTATAGTTTTGTAAAGATTAACCATTGTTAAAGAGAGAAAACTTACATTTTAGAAAACCCTTGTTAGTTTTTATTTTTTTTAGGAACTTAATCAACAAATGTTGACAATTTTTTCACCTTATAAAAATTTCATTTTTTTAAATAATATCCTTTTGAAGGTCATGTTCAGTTGCTAGCACATTTATATGTATTTTTTTCCTTGCACAGAATACACATATTAGTATACACATAGTTGTTCAGGGTCATATAACAATAACAGCTGCTGACCACATAAGTAAAGAAATAAAAATAGTCTTATTGAGTTCTTGATCTTGATTGAAATTTATTTCTTATTAGTTTTTCTAATCTGATTAAGGGAGATTCAAAAGTCAGTGATATTAACATTGAAAATGCATAAGTCACCATCAAAAGACCCAGAAACAACATGACCTAAAACAGTTGTGAATAATTTGTTAGCAAAATAAATAAAAGGTAGCATTACATTTATATTAATAAATTGTAATTACATGTATAATTTGTTTGAAAACTTCGTTCACAAAATAAGAAGTTTTTTGTGGAGAATAAACATCTTATGTGAGTTTATATGTATTTTAATATCTGGATAAATAATTTCCCTTGTTAAAATCGTATCGATATTATACGTTTTACAAAGATTATTATCAAATAGTGAGAAAAATTAAGAATTTTATTGATTGAAAACCACCGGATCTAATACGACGAAATGTGACATATTATTAAGTGATGTACTGGATGTTTTGTAATAACCGTCCTTACTATATATCATTAGAATACTAGTAAAAAAAACAGTATGCATTATTAGTTGCAAATTAATATTGTGAAAAAGAACAAATTAATTTCTAACTCTTATTGTTCTTTACTGAAATTAATATGGGTGAAAGAGGAATAAAAATAGTCTAGGAAATGATTTGAGAATGATGTTTAAAGAAATTCTTGCAGAAAATGAACACTCAGGAGATAGAGCGTTCGCCTTCCAATGAGGTGAACTGGGTTTGAATCCCAGCGATGGCTGGTCGATACGAATTCCGTATCCGGCTTGCACTGACCTCAGTGATAGACGGACCATGGGTTAGAGTCCCCTTGTCGTCAGGTTAACTGTAGAAAATCTTCGTGGTTTACATCTCCATGTAAGGCAAATGTTAGTTAGTTTCGTAAAAAAAGTCCCCAACGAAGGCAAAATACTCCCAATACTTGACTCAGGAGTTCCCTTGTCTTTGGATTGGGTTCAAAATTACAAGGCTACATAGTTGAACATTAGTAGTCGTAAACCCAAAAATTGGGTTGGCTGCTCAACGACGGTTATAAAATATTAAAAATAGGCAAATACATTCTGCTTTATGCTTTTTCCTGACATCATTAATGATTTAGAATTTTTCTAAACATTTTTGTAGGGTGGGATAGCCTGGTTGATAGGACGTTGGGGCCCATGTCCAAAAGGTTGTGAGCCTGCCGGTTGAAGACTCCTCGTGTAGGTGTCTATCTGGTGACAAAGTCCTCTAAGTTCCCGGAACAAATAAGTACCTCTGGGGTTACTGAAGTGGGGATTGATTGTTTTCAGATTCAGATCAAAATTACAATCTATGGATGAATGAATAGATTTGCCCTGTAAAACGTGCTGTGATGTGTGTGAAGATATTCTTGGCCAGAGATGGCACCACTGAAAAAAAAAAAAAAACACCCATTGTCTTAAATTTGCTTGGTTTCACCAAGTAGGCAAGCTGGTATTGGCAAGTGGCATTAGAAACAACTGAAATTTTTTTTATCACTTTAATGTTAGTTTGTCACCCATAATGTGTGCAGTTTTTAATTTTTACAAAATTTTAAATACTATATTTTAAGGATCATCAGTATTTAACACCCTGCGTCACACACTCTCTCTCTGTATATATATACACCGAAGAGCCATTACATTATGACCACCATGCTAATAACATGTAGGACCACCTTTATCTCTCAAAACTGCTATCACCCTCCGTGGCATTGATTCCACAGGTGCTGATAGGTAGTCTGAGGTATCTGGGACCAAGCGCTCACTAACTGGTGATGCAATTCCCTCACATTGCGAGGGGGTAGTGTGGCAGCACGAATTCGGTTTTTCAAGTAGGACTGTAAGTGCTCTATTGGATTAAGGTCAGGTGAATTTGGGGGCGAAGACAAGACTTGAAAGTCACTGGAATGTTTTTCGAACCAATCCATGACGATTCGACCTTTATGACATGGTGCATTATACGGTTGGTAAACACCATCCCCCGCAGGAAAAACTGTTGCCATGAATGGGTGAACCTGGTCTGCAACTATGTTCAAGTAGCTTACAGACGTCAGGGATTGTTCTATGAGGATCATGGGTCCTAATGGGCTCCATGAAAACATTGTTCCTGGGCGAGAAACTATGAAAACCAGGGTGAGCCCATTGTTATAGATGGAGGGTGATCATAATGTAATGGCTTTTCAGTGTATATATCTGTGAAAGTTCCATACTGATAAAGATAAAGTATCTAATGGCTCATATTGAATGTGTAGAAATTGCTGCTTACCATTGTCTGATGGTTGAAGTCCAGCGTCTGTCTCTGGTTACTAGAATAAAGATCCATCAAGATGACATGAATCAGATATGCGCAGTAAGTCAGTCTACTCAGAGGAATGAATAATTTATAGGAGAGAAATTTGTCTACAACACCTGTAAAAATACACAATGATTTATTTATGAATGCTACGTTTCAATAAGCCTTCTAAAATGAGATTTAAATAATTTAAGTTCATCATTTAAAAATGGCCCTTTTAGCTCATCAAATTTCAACTTTATAATTGTGTTTCAACAGGCTGCAGATTTTTTTTTTCATTTACCGGTATCACAGTCAGTAGTTCTAAAACTGTAATTGAACTATAATTTTTTTTGTACATATGCCCACTTACTTTCTGAATGGTAAGTTTCTAAGTATTAATGTATTTGCACAGCAAAATAAAAAGGTGTGTAAAGCTAAAAAAGTGGGAAAAATTCGAAATAAGCACATAAAATTACCATAACTTTCGAACAAATTAAAATTTCGAAAATACTTGTGTTCAGTTTATAAAAAAAATAATCTCCTTTGGGAGCGTAAAATTTCAAAACTGTAATTTCATTTCTGCGGTCAGCACGATATTTTTACAGTTAAAAGTTCTTAACAAATGATGGAATGTTTTTTTTTTTTTTTTTGTATTCCATCGTATTCTCTGTACAGTTTTTTCCCCACATCAACGCGATTTCAAACTTCTTATTCTTATAAATTTCGCGCAGTAAAACAAAATGTAACATAGAGTTGAGCCCTCAAAAATAGCTACGGCGGTCTTTATGATTTTTTTAATCTGCAGAGTTTGTGTATTTTTTCATTTCATTTTTGCCATAGATTCCAAGATTATACATTAAATACATCCTGAGTATTTCTTTTTGATTTCCAAGTAAAAAATATATTATTCCTCATTGCTTTATTAAATCTTAAATAAACACAAAATGTTATTTAAATTTTTTTTTAGGAAAGAAATGAAATTACTGGGAAATAATACTTTATAGGTAAGAAAGTTAATAGCACTCAAAAGTGGTATTTGTAAAGTGGGAAAAATTGATTTAATACATACCTCCATGTCCAGATAAACAAACGAAAATTAACCAGCTCAAACTCAAGCCATAAACCGTGCGAGTTAAAGCATTGTAAAAGCTGGCTCCCACTAAATTTGGTGTTTGGTGATAGGTACCATAGACACAGTACAAACCAGATGTAATTGATAGCAGCCAACCAGTCCATAAAGTAGCCTATAAATTATCAAGAAACGATATACAGTCAAACCCCGCTATAGTGAACACGATTTATAGTGAACGAAATGTTCGGTCCCGTACCTAGCTGTACACGTATGTTATTTTTTGTGGATATAGTGAACCAAAAAGTGAGGAAGTTGGATATTATAAACTTTTTTCTGTCTTCGGCTGATTTTTTTTTTGTAATAAATTTGAAATATCTACTTCAAAATAAGTACTTGTACTGATTTTTAAAACCAATTATAGAGTGGAATATAGCGATAAGCATCTTTTCTTGTTTCCTTCTTCTATCTCACTTTCCCATCCCTAAATAAAGAACAACCCAGGCAAAATTTTCCCTGAATCAGCTTCGCATTAGCTAAAGATAACAAATATTTTTTTCTTCTTTTTTTTTTTACACAAGACGAAGAGTAATAAAAATAACTTTGCACATTTTATGTTACTACGTATTATTTTTCAGTCATTTTTGTATTTCATTTAATTGGCCATTTATTTAATTAGTGTATAAAAAAAAGGAAGGAGTTCGGAAGCCTTAGTTAAAATTGTTTGTGGAACGGATATAGTGAACCGAAATTTCGGTCCCTTGAAGGTTCACTATAGCGGGGTTTGACAATAATATCTCGTAACATTCTTTTTGAAATTTTAATATTATATTTTCACAATCTCTTTTTATATTTTTTGTAACACTGGAAAACAAAAAATTTCTGTTGCACGAGTTTTTTTTTTTGTTTAAGCGGATGTTGGATTTTTACACGTCGCTGATTTCAAATCTGCAATCTATTTCTCTCTTCAAGCTGCAGTTTATTTAAATAACAATTTTCGACTATCTTTTGTTGAAAAATACAAGTTTAAAAGAGTTATATTTAACGGGGATTCGTATAAATAAATGTTGTGGCAAATTTCTAGGAGAGTTAAGGCACATCATCAGGATTAAAATTGCATAGGAACCCATGGACGGAAAATTCGCACGCCGCTAGGGGCGCTTTCTTATTATGGACTGTTTCTTCGCGTACTTCTGGTCCCTCAGTGGACTGCTCGTTCCCAGCAGATCACCGATGTCAAGCATCACTGACTGCTGTCAGTGTGCGGGTGGGTGACCACTTGGATCAGTCTGCGTAGGGACCGAGGGTGTGCGGGATTGGTCCTCGTTAAACTGTTCTATCGTAAAGTGCTCGACTTTGCGTGCAGGTAGTTGGGCTACTGAAGTTGGGGTGCCATCCCCTCTGCAGAAGATCAAAATTGTGATGGCGTGTCTTCGGATCATCCTCAGGGATGTTTCCCAGACCGTTGCCAATAGCCCATTGTGCAGCTCTAGTGCGACGTAGATTAACTACAACTACTTCGCGTGCTTCTGAAAAGCTCATAATATGAAAGCGCCTTTAGCCGCGTATGCCGACATTTTTGGTCGTGTAGGTTCCTGATGATGTGTCCTAACTCCCCTAGAAATTTGTCCCAACATTTACACGAACCCCTGTTTCATATAACGTTTTTAAACTTCTATATTTTTATTAAAACTTTTATTTAAAAAAAATGATAACTTTAGGAGTAAAACTAATTTCAGATTTGGAGTCCCCACACCTGAATTAAGCAAGATTAAGTATTTGTATAAATGCACCAAAAAATTTGTTTCCCAGTGTAATTATCTATACAATTTTATTCTTTTATTTATTTTTTAATCATTTTTATTATTATTTATTTTTTTTGAGAATTCAGTTTATAGATTTAGCAAGTTCCTGTTATATTTTTAGTTGTAGTACCGAAATTAATACTATTGAAGCAGTATTAAATAGAAATAAGACATAAATAAAATCTTAATAATTAAAATGAAAATGTAAATGTGCGTTTGCAGAACAGTACTTCATCAGGGGACACACTGCCTGCAAACACACAGGAGCCTTTCTGTTGTTAGTGGATTTAACCGAAACTAACAGTGCCCCGAGGCCCCTTAGTGAGGAGACAAAAAAGTAACATTTACCACAATTTAAAAGCACTATATACTATTGAAGCAATTTCAGAGGTAAATATGAATACTTACACGATTAAGACTTATGTTCGTTATTTTCTTTTTGAAAATTACGTAACCCAGTGCTATGCCGATCAAATATGGCGCAATTCTAGTATAAGGCTTGTAATAAATTTTGTCCATATATTCCAGAAATCTAAAAAAGAAAAAAAGCCTAAATACAATGATATTCATACCATTCGACGGCATTTGTATCATTCTTAAAGTAGAATGCTTAAACATACTTTGGAATTTTTTAGGAAGAAAATATTGTAATTTCTTATTTTTTTAACATTTAAATATTTTTGAGATAAAAATGTATTATTGGGAATTTAAAAGTATTATTTCCAGAAATTCTTGCCATTAAGTTCGATTTTAAAAAATTGTCATGCCCAACTGCTATGTGCCAATCACTGGTTGCGACCTCTTGGATATGGGCCCAGCGCCCTACCGACCAGGCTATCCCGGCCTTCGCTTTTATTATGTACTTTAACATATCCTTGTAGGCCGGGATAGCCTGGTCGGTAGGGCGCTGAGCCTATGTCTGAGAGCTCGTGGGTTCGCACCCCGCCGGCCGAAGACTCACCCGTGTAATAAAGTGACTGATGCACGTTAAATCTGTCGAGTCGCTAAAGTCCTCCATGTTCCCATAACAAATCAATATCTCTGGTGGTACTGGATTGGAGATCGATCGTTCTCTGATTCAGGTCAAAATTACGATCTGTGGATGAATGAATGGATGTGGATGAATAAAACGGGTACGACGTTTGGTGTGGCTGAAGTAGAATTCTTGGCCATAGATGGCGCCACTGGAAAAACAAGAACAATCGCACAACCTCTGCCTAAACAGGCATACGTCAACAACAACAACATATCCTTGTAAAAGTAATATATTAGCTAGGGTAAAAAAATGCTATCGAAACCTAATTCACTCCTAAGGAGGACGGAACTGAAAACATTAAAACCCTTTAAATTGCCAGAGGAAGCAGAAAAATTGAAAAGTTGATCATTTGGAAACACTTCCGTGTTTTATCAGGCGAACTGGTTTTGATGTTTCCATCCTCATAGTGACAACACAAATCTTGATAGGATTTTTGTATCAGAAGGAAGTAACAAGAGCCTTACTTACCGTTGCAAATATGTTGTGTCTGTTTCCATATGACGAATATCACCCAAAGTTCCAGCTAGCAAATCATAATGGTAGGTGATAATGAAACCGCAAAGCCAAGACCCGCATAAGAACAGTGTCATAGTTGCGTAACCGATTTTCGGCCACCTGAAATAAAATTTGTTTTTAATGAGAAAATTCACTGATTCGTTCACGATTTTTCATTATGAAATAAATTTGATATTTTAAAATTTTTTTTAATATCCTCAATTTTTACGCTTCAACTGGGTACCAACTCGAAAAGAAGTATACTGCCGAAATCTCACGGTTGAGCATATAATCACGTGACTGTGCATGACGAGTAAACGTTACAGCTGTTAGACTTGGTACGCTGAATCAATTGGCGGATCAGATTTAATCTGATGTCTACAAGCGAACTAGAATGGCTGCTGAATTCGCGTGATGTCACTTTAGGCTCCCAATGTAATAATTGCAAGCGACGTCACGCATGGTGCAGCTAATCAGATTCGACGCATGCGCGTGGCGTCACTTGGAGGCATCTAATGAAATCTGATCTGAAAATTGATTTAGGGTGAAAATAAACTCAAGCATGAAAGTTGTAGCTTGTGCTGCAGCCATGCGCAACCACGTGATTGGAAACTTGTATGTGATTAGTTGCAAGTACCCAATTATGATAATTAGTTCTTTTAGAAAGCTACAAGTTGGGAGTTTTCGTTGAATTATAATTTCGTGGTGAGGATTTAAGGATATTTGTAAAAAAAATATTTCACCGCAAAACTTTTACTTTTCAAGGGCTTCAAAACTGTATATTTTTTGTCTAATGGATATGATAATAATAATAAATTAATGATACTGATAATTAAACTGGGGATCCCATTAAGGTGCGTAGCGTTTTTTAAAGGTGCTTATTTTCGATTTTTGTTTTTTGAAAGCCCTTAAAGGCGCTTTTTTCATGGGGTTTTTTTAAAAAGTACTTAATTTTCCCCTTTCTAAAATGAGATTTTTTTTCTTCACCATGTCGATTTTCGCCACGTATTAAGCAAAAGCGTGCGTTTCACGTTGTTCTATTCAACGTTTTTAAAATTTATTCAACCACAATCTATTTGGGCGTACCGTCTGTCCATTCGCGATCGCAACGAACTATAGGGGGCGTTGTTGTATGAGACGCTTACCTGCAATTTCCATATGAACCGTCATTCAGTTACTCTGGAGACGTCGTTAATGTAGCNCGATCGCGAATAGCGTACGAAAGCGCCAATCATTTTACAGGTTTGATGAAATACTTGCGAGTCAGCATGTGAGCTGGGTTCTGTGAAATTATTGTACTCTATTGTGCAACTCTGCTGCATTTTGCAAGATATTCTCCTTTTCAGGCTTCATTTTCCACCATCTTATATGGAACCGTAAAATCTCTCGATCTTTTTATGGTGGCTAATATTATCAAGAAAAGAGTTCTTTGTCAGAAACTGGTTATTTTATCACGGTCATGTAAAATTTTTGAAATTTTTTTTTGCATTTTGTTAATGTATATAGTGTTTAAAATATTTTTTGTGTGCTTAAAAAGTACTTAACGGTGCTTATTTTTTGTTGAGGGATTTGGCTTTGCACCCTGGGGGAGGTAGTGCACATCATATGGATGGAGAAATGCATTACAACCGTGATCTAAAAAGTTACAGGCTACCTTATGAACTGTTTTTGTGTACTTTTATTATCTTATCTGAATTTGGGTTATCTTAATTTTATGTTTTATAATAATTATCTTCGAAAAATGGATTCATATAGTGTGTGTTGATATTTCGATGTCTTGTTCCGTTGTCAGTCTGGAAACATGGGGAAAAAACTGTTTTGGACTGGAACACTGAATTCTTAGCTTCACCCAAAAGCTGTGTGAACTAAAATATATTTTTCAGCGGTTGAAGTGAAGGAAATTTTAACTGACTTTAAATTAACTCAGATTCTGACATGGCATGGAAATTTTAGCCTCTATTTGTTTACGTTTAATTTAGGGAATTATAATTTCTGTTCTTGTGGTCATGGTGTTGACATTGTAGAACGCATTATATTTTATTGTAATTTATATTCAAGTCAAAGAGAAAGCTTTAAAAAAAAGGGAACTGAGACACGGGTATTTCTTGGCCAACTGTTTTGTCCTTGTTTATTAAATGCACTGAAAACCTAAATATTTTACGCAATTTTGTCTACAACTTGGCTTTTTTTAAAAATTTGTTCTGTTTCTTTTCAATTTACAATTGTACTTTTCCCATTTACATCTGTGAGCCTCATTTTATACTTTGTGTAGCATAAGGAGTCATAAATTTAATAATAATAATGCAAATATGTTCTGTATTAGCTGTTTTATCGTAATTTAATGATTTGGCGACTAACTTGACAAATTCGCTAAATTATAAAATTGTGATGAAGCAAGCTATTTCGTAGTCTATTTGAATGCAATTCGTTGTGAAAGGTTTACCGCATCATTGAAGCACAACTCATAAAGAATTGACAATATCTCTAATTTATGAAAATGGAAAAAATTTTATAAAAAGTTCTTTTATTTACCTCCAAAGTGTAATCAGGAATAAGGGACTTAAGGCAAAGAACTGCATATCATTTGCTAGATACCAAGTCAAAGCAAAGCACTGGAAAAAACATAAATTTCTTTAATTTGAAAATTTCAAAAGTCATATTCATTCTATCAGATTTAAAACTGAGAATGAGGCAGTAATTTTGATAATTTTCATCTAGGTAGAAAAATTTCGCCAAGAATTGGCGACTTTTTAAAACGAATTATTAACTTTTGAAATATTTAAGTAATTTGTCCGTTCTAAAGCTCAGATAATTCTTCACGTCTAGATGATGTATAAAGTTTAAAATCATTGCTTTGCTTCAAGTATAAGGCACTTAAACTGTGGCTCTTTTATTTTCCTTAGCTTCGACAAACAATGCCAATCATCAATTGTATAGCTTGATAAAAGCTGGGGGGTCATGAGTTCGATCTTGGAAACAAACTAAATAATCTGCATTTATAAGCAGCAAGGTTGAATCTGTTGTGGCTGAAAATACTCTTGTTGGTTGGGGAAGTTTAGAGCGAGTGGCATCTGCTCAGTTGCTGCCCACGCTGCTTAAACAAGGACAAAATAATGTGATACTGCTAGCGTAGCCTGCTAAAAGACGAGTACTGAAAGATTGGGGCAGGTGATCGTGCTTGCATTAAGATCACGTGTTCCTTGTAATTAATTTTTTCTTGTATTACCTAACCTAATCAAGTTTTAACCTAAGGCATACTCATAGTCACTTACCCTATACATAATTACTTTTTGCTATCGTTTCGAAGTTAAGAGGATGATGCTAATACCAATTTTACGTCTGTGCTCTGTACAGTGCGAAAAAAACTACCCTGAATAATTTTTGATCTCTAATGATCGGATTTTCACATTTTAAGGACTCAATTTTAATGGCTCGAGGGGGGACCTCAAATATGCTATTTAATAAGTGCAGACGATATTTTAAATTACGAAATCAGATACAAAAACGTACTTTCTCTGAATAAACGTCCCTTTTTTTCGACTGATTAGGATTTCTGACCTCCAAAATGTAGAGGGTAGCCGCAATCTGGGAAATATGTTCCCAATATTTTGGTCAGGAGAGCGATTCAAAACTTATGTTAATTTTACTTTTTGCGTATTTCTCTATATCTCGAGAACTTTTTCTGCGAATTGAAAAATTTTTTGCACATAATTGTAAAATTTGTTTATCCAAAGATAATTCCATGCAAAAAGTAACTTTTAGTAAATATTTATTATTTTTTCTTATTTTATTTAAGAATGATTGAAAAAAGTTTAAATTGTAAGGTATACAATTTTTTGAATCATTTTAAGGAACATAATTTTGTACAGCAAAATACAAAATTTGAGCAAAATTGATCGAATAGTTCCTGAGAAATCAAATTTTAAGTATCCGATTTTTTTAAACTTCAATTTCTCAGAAACTAGTCAACCGATTTTGCTCAAATTTCGTATTTTTCTATGTATAATTACATTTTCTAATTGATGCAAAAAACTGTATACATTACAATTAAAAAAAAATTCTCTACCATTCCTAAATAAAATAAAAAATAATAAATATTTATTAAAAGTTATTTTTTTGCATAGAATTATCTTTGGATAAACGAATTTTATAACTGTGTGTAAAATTTTTTTAAATCGCTTAAAAAGTTCGAAATATAGCGAAATAAACAAAAAGTAAAATTAACATTAAGGGGTCCAAACTTGAAGCGCTCTCCGGACCAAACTACTGGAACCCTATTTCCCAGATTGCGGCTCCCTCTCATATTTTGGAGATCAGAAATCCTAACACGTCGAAAGAAAGCCACATTAAAAGAAAGTTCATTTTTGTGTCTGATTCCGCAACTTAAAATATCGTCTTCACTTATTAGGTAGCATATTTAAAGTTACCCTCTGGAGCCATTAAGATTGAGACCTAGAACGTGAAAATCCCAACATTAAATCAAAAGTTTTTCAGAGTGGGCCGTTTTTTCGGCGCACTGTGCATCTTTAAAGGTATTTTTTTTATTGTAAATCATTTTTATAAGTTTATATTATATTGCTCGATATATCTGTATATCGGAGGTAAAGGACGCCATGCTCATTTGTTTCTAAAATTGAGTTTATGCCATGTGCATATTGCATATTTTTCATTTTATCTTGTGGTATAGGGCACTATGTCCTATACCACATAGTTATTGGGGATATAATAATTGGGGATGCTAGACAGTTTGAAAACACACCATGTCCTAAATCCTCTATAGGTAAAAAATCTAAAATTTGCTCTTTTCAAAAATTAGATTTTTGTGACATGATATCCTTTACCTCCGACTTACAAATGTATATTTTTTAATAAAAACTAATACATCGAAGTTGTTGAAAAAAATTATTAGGGGCCGTTCAAAAAGTACGTACATCCCGAAGGGGGGGAGGGGATTTGCTATTATGTACGGTTTTGTATGATGGGGAGGGGGGGAGGTATTATACAAAGTACGTACTTTATAACCAAATTTACATACAAATAAACATACACCAAATTTAAATTTGACTTTATCCTACACCCTCCTTAAGTAAATATTTAATTTTATTTAAAACATAATTATTTTAATTTTTATGAAAAAGGGGGGTAGACTAATAAAATGTACGTACTCTAAGGGGGTGGGAGTAAGACCTTATGTACGGNTTGACGTACACTATTGATATAAAGTAAATTCCACCACCAATTCTTATGGCAATTTTGATCAACGTTTGTATCTCTCCAGAAAGGTCCAGATCCCATTACTGGCAAGACAGTGGCGTAAAATGCCAATACAATCATATAAACCGGTGTTAGCCTGTAATTTTTAATAGACGCATTAAACAAAAGCTAGTAGAAGTGGTCTTAAGTTATTTTCCTTTGTTTTAGAGATGAACCAAAATTTAATAAATTGAGGCATGTTTATTTGAGGAATTGCTAAACTAATTTTCTTCCAATATTTTCTATTCAAAATAAATGTCTTAAAATTTTAAATTCTCTGAATCAAAATACTTTTACCTTTGAAGATTTCAGTCTAATACCGTTTCGCCGCCATTTTTTTCACATTTCGTTTTTTTTTAAACATATAAATAATTTAAAAAGTAGCAGATCTAAAAGAAGACCAAATGAAATTTAAAAAATCCCTTGCCTTTACAAAAGAATTTTTTTTACTTAGTTTCGAAATTGTATACTATTTTGTGTATTCTTTTTCAGGCTTTTAAAATATTCAGCTTTTAAACATGATTTATGTGAATTTAGGATTAATAACGACGATAATTTTTTTTCACTTTAAAAAAAGCAATGCAATTACTTTCTCCCCAGCTTTATGCCAAATAAAATTGTGTAATATTTTTTTACATATTCTTCCAGAAAATAAGTTTAGTTTTATAAAGTTTTTTTCCTGCTAGTCCAATCATATGCTGCATTTCTTATGTACTTATTTATTTTTAAGATATTATTATTATATTTTGGTTGATATTTGTAATATTTTTCATTTTTGACTATTCATTTGCAAAATGACTATTTGAATAAAATGTTGACTATTTATTGCTAACTATCGAGTTTTCACAAACTTTGTTGAAATCCTAATGGTTGGAGGGACATATCTTAAATGAGGTAACTAATAAATGCAAGTAAATAATCAATCTTACACATACCTTAGATAACGGTGGACGTAAAAATAAAGCCACGGTGTTTTTCCCTTTCTTTTTTCGCAATCTTGAAAGTATAAATAGGACATCAAAAATCCACTGAAATAAATTTTAATAATTATATTTAATTAATTTTTGATAGATAATTTCTGAAATTGAAAAGTTTGTTTTAGAGTTTAAAATAAATAAATAAATAAACTAGAAGTAAATAAATTTGTATCAGAGTAAGCATTTACTTGCTTATGTTTGGACCTATTAAGATTTTATCTGCACACAATGTTTGTCCTGTAATCATGACCATACTGTGTAAAGTTAAAATCCTTGAAAAATTGAAGTAAAAAAAAGTATACTCATAAGAGTTCGTAAATTAGCCTTTAAATTAGCCACTCTGAGTAACTTTTGATCTAATGTTCGGATTTTCACGTTTTAAAATTCAAACTTAATGGTTCAACGAGTGACTTCAAATATGCTGAATAATTAATGAAAAGTTCTTGAGAAAATAAATTTTAAAAAGTCGTATTTTTAGAATTCAATATCTCAGGAACTATTCGATTGATTCGCCACAAATTTTGTATTTTGCCGTTTAAGCATTTGCCCTGTAATCATTAAGTGCCATGTTATGTATTCTTTAAAATGTTAAAAATTTAAATACCTCACAATTCAAAATCATTTTGACTATTATTCATGATGGTTAAATAATAACTATTTACTATAACTTATATTTTGCATGGAATTCTCTTTTTGATGAACAAATTTCATAATTGTGTTCAACAATTCAATTTGTTTTAAACGTTCGATACATAGTGAAATACGCAAAAAGTAAAACTAACTCTAAAAGGTCCAAACTTCGAACAGCTGTTCTGACCAAACTATTGGTACCATATTTCCCAGATTACGACTATCCCCTATATTTTGAGGATCAAAAATCCGAATCCGTCGAAAAAAAGGTATGTTTATTCGGAGAAAGTAGGCCATTGTGTCAGATTTCGTAACTTAAAATATCGTCTGCTTTAATTAATAAGCATATTTGAAATTACCCCCTTCGAACCATTGAGTCCCAAAACGTGTGAAGATCTGATTATTAGATAAAAAGTTATTCAGAGTGGTCCGTGTTTTACTTTGAGCACACTTCACCTGCTACGTATTATTATTTTGCGATTCTGTAGAAACTGTGTTTGATTTTTTATAACTTTCAAATTTAAAATAAATCATCTCAAAAAATAAAAATAAAATCCAAAATGTATAAAAACCGTTCTTAATATATAAAAAATTCAAAATTTTTATTCTCTAAGAAGTTTTACCTGAGGACAAAAAATGAATCAACTGAATACCATCCATTGAGAACAGCTTGGAAAGGTAAATTATCTACTTGAGGAATGACATTGTTTAGGGATCCTGTGAAATTGTACAACAAGTTAATTTAATAATGTATAACATAATATTACAATAATCATTTATATAGAAATGCATAATAAAATAATATTGCAATATTTTTATTAAAAAACAACAAGTTCTGTTATTTTTTAGGAATCCTGTGAAATTATAGCACAAATTAATTTAACAATGTATAATATAATAATATTACAATAATCATTTATATAGAAATGCATAATAAAATAATATTACAATATTTTTATTAAAATGCCAATATGTTCTATTGTTTCTTAAGGGATCCTGTAAAATTATGCATTTAACAATGCATAATAAAATAATATTATTATAATTATCAATATGAAAATGCCTAAAAAAATAGTGCAATATTTTTATTAAAAAGCTATAAGTTCTGTTTGTAAATCGTAGATATTTTATTACTTTGGTTTTTCTGAAAAACAAATTCCATAAGTTAATTTTTTTCCCGAACGTGCAGACCTGTATAATCTTTTGAGTTGAATATATACTTGGTAAAAAGAATATAAAATTCTCTATGATTTTTAAAGATTCTGTTTCGCAACATTTTAAATAAATAGTATTACAAAACCTTAACTAAAGCAATAAATGTATTAGAGATATTTCTTTGACGTACGCTGAAAAATTATGGTAAGTACCGGCACTCACGTTGCCAGTACTTTTTGTCGTAAAATTCATTTTTACTGTAAAATTTTGTAGCGTAATGTTTACAGTACAATATTACTGTAAAAAATACTGTGTATCAAAGTTTTTTTTTCTTAAAAGTTTAAGGTAAAAATGAATTTTACGATAAAAAGTACTTGCACCGAGTGCCAGTACTTTTTGTCGTAATTTTTCAGGAATTATTTCTTTTAATACATCGACATTTTTTTTTAAGTTAGAAAAATTTATATACTCCTGAATAACATCGAAATTTGGAACATGTACACGGCATAGAATAACTCAAGAGATTTACTATACATTTTAAATAAATAGTATTACATAACCTTAACTAAAGCAATAAATGTATTAGAGATATTTCTTTGACGTACACTGAAAAATTATGGTAAGTACCGGAACTCACGTTGCCAGTACTTTTTGTCGTAAAATTCATTTTTACTGTAAAATTTTGTAGCGTAATGTTTACAGTACAATATTACTGTAAAAAATACTGTGTATCAAAGTTTTTTTTTCTTAAAAGTTTAAGGTAAAAATGAATTTTACGATAAAAAGTACTTGCACCGAGTGCCAGTACTTTTTGTCGTAATTTTTCAGGAATTATTTCTTTTAATACATCGACATTTTTTTTTAAGTTAGAAAAATTTATATACTCCTGAATAACATCGAAATTTGGAACATGTACACGGCATAGAATAACTCAAGACATTTACTATACATTTTAAATAAATAGTATTACATAACCTTAACTAAAGCAATAAATGTATTAGAGATATTTCTTTGACGTACACTGAAAAATTATGGTAAGTACCGGCACTCACGTTGCCAGTACTCTTTGCCATAAAATTCATTTTTACTGTAAATTTTTGTAGCGTGACTTTTACAGTACAATATTACTGTAAAAAATACTGTG